TTATTATATGTATAATCTGTATTTCTTGAACTAAAGCTAAGTAATGTTTTTCATGGTTTGATCTATTTACGTGTAAATAAATGGAAAAAAGTCAAAAATAAAGCAAGGTACAAATTTTTACATCAAAATTGTCGACCAGTGCAATCACGAAAATAGTAAACTGCACTTTTCGTTTAAAACTACAGAATTCGATTGCGTTTATGGATACTCAAAGCCCTGTCACGATATGATCGATCGACGTAAAAAAGGTAACGCTGCCTTCTCTCTCTTTCTATCAAATTGCAAAATCCTTTCAGAATCGACGATACGTTCCTTCACGAAAATCCTTGTAAAATCCTTTGTCCCGCCTTTCATTTGCTATGTTCGCTTGCGGTTGTTCTGTTGAAAAATTATTAACGTGCGAATGACCGTCAAAGGGCACGCGCAAGTTTCGTGGATTTGTTTGTACTGCTTGCACAAACCGCTGTAATCGCGTGCCGGAATCTGCATTATACTACCCGTATGCTACCCCCATACCCACGTTTTCGAGCACGCTTGGAACAACCTGCCCTGCCATCAAGTTTGCATCGAGTTCACTTCGCCCTTACAGTTGCTCGTTAGATCTATACGGCGCGCTCCATGTGGCACCGTGCCCCTAGCCACAACCCACAAAGGAAATTGGAAACGACAGAGACGCTCGTTCCTATCCGATAAATTTCTTTTTTACGATTACGGAACGCTTAAGGATTGCAAGGAGATTGTAAAACGGCGTTGAGAGACGAGTTTAATCGGGCTCGGCGAACAGTTAAAGAAAAAACGGATCTATAACGTCTCGACATTTTACAATTCGACGCGTACGCAAAAATATTGGTATAATGTACATTTAATTAAGAAAAAAATATCAGTACGTTACATATGAAAATAATTTCGCATTTGTGATTATTTCAAAACGATATCGGATTGCGTTCTTTTGATATTTTAGATTTGATTTATGTCTCTCAATAAGAATGGAATCACTTACTCTAATAACATTGGAATCGCAAACATTTACGACGAATTACTTATGAGTGAAATTACATTGTCGGATTTACGTGTAATTGCAAATAAAAATTGGTAAAAAGTTAATCACTGAAAATTAATAAATATCTTTGCTATACATTGTCTTTTATACGTTGTATTTATTATTGTTTTATGTGAAAAGGGAAAATTTCCAAAAAAGGTTTAAAGTATCATCGTATTTTGTAACCAGTTTATATTAGTTTATTAGTTTCATTAACTTTAGTCATTTGATATTTCTTTAAACTTCCTAAAGATGAAAGTAATGAAAGGATAAATAAACTTGCCTTTTTATACCCGATTGATGAAATTACAGGTTCAAAATTAAATGATATATATTTTAACAATAATTTCTTTGCGATTGTATATTTATAGATATTTTTTACAGTCTCCATATGCACCATTGTCTTGAACAGACATATACGTATTCTAATAAACGTTTTATTTATTTTACCTTGTATAATCTAGAACACGTAGAACTGTTTATTATAAAACACCTCTATTAAAATATATAAACATTTTAGAATACTTTGTATGCGTTGTGCATAAAATCTACATTGCGACCATCGACTGTAAAAGCAGCGAGCAATTACACTGGTGTTTAAATGATGTTATTTACACATGCCTGGTGTCGCGATTGAAATACGAAGGTGAAAAAGAGATAAAATTATTTAACACATTGCCTGAATTGTGCGTAACGTTTTTCAATACGTGGCGTGGTTTTGATGCATTCATTTCGGACTGCTCGTTGCTAGCCCAGCCGTTGCATGGGTTAAACAAAACTTCCAAAATGCGTAGTCGCTATTAGCGGGCCCAGCAACGCGTGTCATCATGAGCCTTTTTCACTACCCGAAAACAGCAGTTCGTTTTTCGTTACAAACATCGAAACACGTTACATTCACACATGTTGCTAAAGAATTTGCATTAAATGTGATACCTATCCTGTTAATTTCTATTCATTATTTTTTTTGTCCATTGCATTTACGAATTAAGTTCTCTATAAGATGAAAATTGTATAACAATATGTGTTTATTTTGGTAGCTTAAGCGGTTTTGTTGAAATCGATATCTCGATCAATTGAACACGAGACATAAAAAGAGGTTGTTACTATTTCTCTAAAAGTAAATATTTATCCATTGAAATTAAAATAATAATCGTATTTTATACTGGCGCTTTTTATTTCAGCTATGGCAATATAAACATAAAATATTTTATTATTTTATTCAAAGTAATTAAATCGGAAATAGCTTTACGGTAATTCATATACTAAAAAACATATAAAATTACTTTTAGTTATAAATTAATTTATTTATAAATTAATTTTATAATGGAAATACAGCACTTTAATTTAAATAATTATACAAAAGTTGATATATTTTATTTATATCTATTCCGTATTTTAAATAATAAATATTGAGATTTGGCATTACTTTAGTGTGTTCTTAAGATTTTCGGATTAACTTATCAAGTATGCAAAAAAGCTAGGGAAATTGTCGAAGCTCATGAAGAAAGAGAGTAAAGTTGTCTCCATCTAAAAAGGGTCTCCTTGTAAAACTTTTAAAATATATTCCATCCTTCTTTTTACCTTCATCAGGTTATCCCGCTTTTGGTTTTACCACAGTTTGAACTTTGCGGGCATAATAATCCAGGTCTCAAAACAAGCCAAGAGTAAAAGAGTAATTTTTGTCCAGCGCGGCGTCCAGTCAAGATAGAAATGAATTTATGCAATGAAAACTGACGTAGTTGTTTCGTTAAATATTAATAATACCAGAATTGTAGTAATACTACATCAATTAACAAACATCGATCGCGATTATTGATTACGCGATAATAATGTATCTCCATATGCGGTCTTATTTATTGTTACATAATACTAAATTATATCCGATCTCTCTGATCCGATTATGATAACTAATAACTATATAATATCTGCGTATACAAAGCGAATATAGAAACAAATATTAATTTCCGCCGCCGTTGGTTATCGTTGGCGATCCGTAAACAATAATTCGCGATGCAGTGTAAAATTAATTTTTACGACCGCGTCGATTAAACGCTCGGCGGCCACGGCGCCGCTCGAAAGCGTGGGACGGGGCTAATGATTCATCAATTTCAATTCCAATGATTTACACGCCTGCGAAATTACGCTCGGACGTTTTGCCGCGAAGAAATACGATCGGCTTGCGTAATCATCGCGCGAGCGCGATGTATCGAGCCTCTCTCGTTCAATCGACCGGCCTTTTTTTCTCCACCCATTTTCGACACGAACCCTCGTGAGTGCGTTATTGCACCGGGCTAGCGGTCGTGCATCGAGAACGCGCGGTCATCGAGCCGTCTGCTGCATTATTTCCGACATAATCGCATTCGTCCGCGGTTTATCGGCTCGCCGTTAAATCGATATATCGGGCGCGCGCGGGAGGATAACCGGCCAAATGAGTTCCTGGCGATGGAAATTTGTTCGTCCACAAAATTTGTCGCTTATTCGGCGCGTTTGAGTACTCGACGATGCCGCGCGCCTTATTCTCGCGTAAAACATACAAGGTTTGCGGACGGTTGAAAAGACAAATAGAAAAATATAGAAGTAAATAAATAACAAATTTAAACAAAAACAAGAAGAAACGTGTATAAAAAAAACCAGTGCTTGTACACACACAAATATCGCACGAAGATTAAAATATATTAAATGATTGGTATCGTGTAAAATGTACGTACCGTTGTGCGTTTGCTTTGACGTGCTTTATTTGATGATAGCATGGAGGCACTTCAATATACGGCTCATCGCAATACACTTCGCTTGCGGAGCCATGGCAAGCGTCGTTTTTAATCACCGCGAGCGCCGACACTAAAGGGAAAACCCGACAGTTATTGAGCTATTCAGCTCGCCGTGGGTGGTAACGCGGGTAACGCCGATCCAGTAAATCCCCCATGTAAAATCGGCGAGCGTGCGGCGTCAGCGGCCCTAGGTGCCTCGATTTACCGTGTTTTCGCTTCCATCCTCGCCCGGTGGCGATATAACGCGGTGAAATGGATCAACGCGTCGCGGACGAACGGTGGGGTATGAAACAGAATGAACAAGCTTTCAGTTATGCGTGCGCCGTCTTGCAAGACGGAAAGCCTTTCATCCTATTTCTCCCTTGTTCGCTCACTCTCATATTTTGACCTAACGAAGGAGCAGTAGTTGCCAGCAGCGTCAGTGCCGAGCGAAGAGCGCGCACAAGTGTGTTTTCACCCTTTCGAACACTCGGCTCGGCGCACAACCTCGTCGTTGTCGTCGTCGTTGTCGTCCCTTTTGTACCACGTTTCCAGTCGCAATTTATAACCCTCTCGCGGGGAGCTTTCTCTCAGCCTCACTTTCCTCTATTTCTCATTCTCTCTTTCGCGACGAAGTCGATCTCTGAAGCTTAGCTGGCGTCTCTGTTTTATTGGACGCGATCTGTATTTACGATCGCCCGCTCCAGAACCGTTTTATTCTACTGCTGTTACACCATCGGTGTGCAATGGAGTAGGTTATTGAGGTGATCGATGGAGGTCACGAATTTTATTCAGCTGAAGATATATTATTTGTTGCTTCTGTGTTACTGATGAATCATTTCATTATTAATGTTTTTACTTCACGTTCGTTTATAAATTTAAAAGTACGAAGAAATTAATATCTGCGAATCGAATACTTTCCAAACAAGCGCGAACAAGGAATCATTTTGTGCAATCATTAATATTACATAATTGATGAAACTTTTCTACCGGTGGCGACCAGCAGTTTCGCGACTGTAAGCGAAAAATACGGTATTGTAGATTATCAATCAATGCGCGGAAGGATCGATTAGTCTGCTATTCAGAGAGCAGTCGTTGCGAAAGTGGAGCTCATTGAAAAATTCTCCTCGAGCGAGCATCGAGTTCGCGAGCGAAATCGACCACGCTTCTCTCGCATCGGTAACGCTCGAAGGTTCCTGCCATGACTTTTCCAGGGTAGGATGGAGAAGTATCGGCCGGAAATCTAAGGCTGCGGAGAGCCTTCCAAAGAAAGAGAGAGAGTATCGAGGCCGAATCGACGACCCGAAGAAAAAGAAACCGGTCACTTATCGAGCCTTCTTCACCAATGGTTTTTACCCGCAAACCTCTCCAAACTCCTTTTCACAGTATCCGGAAAACCGCGATATCGCCGGATATCAACCCGGACTGCATCGGAATAACGCCTCATCCGCTTATACGTATGTACAAAGTGAAGGACCCGCAGGTAGAGGAGGTACTCGCGGATTCTAGTCCAAAGGATTTCTTTGTAGAGAAGAATCGATCTCGATGTGATATTCAGTGGCAAACATCATTATTTGGTAAAGCACGACAGTACGAATGTTCCGGACACTAATCGATTCTGTTCGAGGATTCTGAATAAGCTACAGAGGTAGAGATAAGATCCGACGGAAACGTCTTTTGAAAGAAAATGCCCATTTTGAGGTTCGCACGGATCGAGCTGCGAGGTAATCGTAAAGTAAGATCGTGAACAAACGACGAAATTAATATCGCCCTTTCATCATCAAGGCAGGGTTATTGCTGAAGTGCCGGCCGTTTGAAGCTTCCGCGTACATCGACAGTTTGACAGGAGTGAATCCATTCAGACTCGGACTCGACAGGAATTGATAACGAGCCGCTGCTTGAATCCAAGCAGGCCACTCCGCGTGAGGGTTCCGTTTTAGCTAAATCCTTCAGTCGCGAGAGCAGAATCCACTTGTCCAAGTCTGATTTCTCGCCGTCGCCATGATTGTCAAGCGTATCTTTTTTCGGAATTCTGAAGGGTGAACTATATGCGGGGCCGAAAATCTACCTTTTTATTCGCAAATATCATGTAATCGCATAGAGGGTGAAGAAGATACGAAGAAGAGGGTAAGTTGCCCGCTATATCGAGCGCTCTTCCATCCCCGCATCTGTCCCGCTTTCCCGTCAATCGGGGATGAACGCTGAGCGAAATTCACTCATGCGTGAGAGGTGAGACAACCGCGCGATCGGAAGTACGTGTCCCGATGGGACAGGATCGCATTTCCAGTGAAGCACTATCACGAGAAAGAGAGAGCGAGAGAGAGAGGAAGAACGTCAACATCACATAGCTCGATGGACCACGAAGAGTCTAACGGAAGAAGGAACGGGGACAGCAGGAATCGCCGGAGACGATATCTAGCGACAGAACTCGGTCGCTGAAAATTGGAAGAGCGAAGCGTAGCCAGGACCTGGAAACGGGCGATGATCACGGGATAGTTCCTGGGAAATATGGGAGAATCCACGTCCTCGACCACTCGTGGACGGACGTCTTTTGTACTTTTATAAAAGTATCATCGTCGTCGGAGTGCGCCCGGGACCAATCGCTTAGCTTCCTTCCGTATTAAGGCTGTATCGATCATCTTCATCCTCTTCGTCGTCGATACTCGGAAGAACCGGTGCCTTGGTTGATTCGCTCTGGTATTTGCGGAAGTCCCGAGCTTGAATAAATTCTGCCTCTCTCTGTCTCTGCCAGGAAGAAAAGCAGATTGTAAATTAGGAAATTACCAGCTATTTCCCTTCTAATCGAATAAGTGCTACCTAATTGATAACGTTTACCGAAAAAATGAAATAAAATAAATCTCAAGCGAATAGAAACATTTGTATTCGACATCGATTGTTTGACATTTCAACTTGCAGAAGAATTGGTCGAACAAAAGGAGCTACCTTTCTACTTTGTTTATACAGATCTTTGAAATTATTCAATGATTTCGAATCTTTAAATTTTGGAAGGATTTATAAAATGAAATAAGAGATAGTTCCTTTATATAAGGGAACTATAAATATAAAATCTCTATACGAACTTGTTTACACGAGTTTATTTCACTTCAGAGTATCAGTATCAAATGCATCGCTTAGACTATCGAGCAGCCTTCAAGAAGAAAGGTGCCTTGCCCATCTGCTCATTTTTCAGTCATCAGTAAGTCGAGCTTCGTGTGTCTGAAAACGGGAGAAAGATAAATCCCTGGCCACGTACGTTTTATTTGATATCTTTTGTCCGTAATTGCGAGACATGCTCCTCCCAATAAATCGTCCTCGAAAAATATGAAGTGTCGCGCTATTTCTATCTCCGGCAAGACATTCACAGAACAGGGATCTTAATTCCTACCGGATGAAATCATTGAAAAACTAACGAGATGTGAGCAAGGTCATCCATTGGTTTCTATTGTTTCGTAAAGAACGAATAAAATTGTAGCGTGGCGACGTTGATATCGCAATAGAAATTTTGAAGTTAGGTCAGGTAAGAGGATAATACTACTCGACAAATATCAGAAGCTGCCAATGTGAACACTGATCCCTCTTGAGAAACAGCGAAGTCCAATAAACGATATTCATTAGTATTTAACGGGCTACGAAATTCGACAAGCTTTTAATTCTAGATGAAGTAATCGTTTTTCGAGGATAATCAAAAAACGATCCACTGCCAATGAGAGCCTAACAATTCTGTATATCGCGAGATCAAGAAAGGAGCATAAGAGTAACTATCGATAACACAATTAGAGAAAAGCATCGGCACTCGTCGTTCCATGCTTGCTTAACTAACAATCGCAATCCTGTAAAAGTAGGCGCGAGTTAAAAAGATAAGCGAGAGGGAAGAAGGTGCAGAAAGAAAGAAAGAAAGAGAGGTGGACAAATCCGCACTGAAGTCGGTGATATGTGTCGCGCTGGCTCCCGGAGCCTCGATGACCTTGACCCCGCGAGCATGAAGCACCCATCGAGGTCAGCGGGTCTCGAGGTTGCTATGGCGCTCTTCGGCATGGTTTGGCTGCTGCGTGTCCGCTCTGAGATGCGTCGTTGCTCGAAATGTCGGCACGAGGAGATGCTCGCTCAGCAGCAGCAGCAGCATCAGCAGCAGGTGCAGCTGCAGCAGCAACAGCAACAGCAGCAGCACCATCATCATCACCACCAGCATCACCAGCAGCAACGTAACCTGTCGCAGGCTACCAGCCTACTGCAGACGATGTCCGACGACGTTAGCTCCTCCGCCAACACTCTTTTCACGTTGGACACTCCTGGAGCGGCTGGCCCGGCCGGAAGTTACTGCGAAGTGCACGGATACGTTCAGGCGAAAGAAGGTAGAGTGTCTCTCTCATATCATATGTCTCTTTATCGATTATTTCTGTCGGGCCAATTTTTCAGTTAACACGTTAAACGTTACTCTCTTGATATCAGAAAACTGTTAAGTTTTGTAAAATATAGTTTAGTTTTATAAAACAAGGCGTCTGGGACCTACGATTTCAAGATATACCGCGTACCGTATGCATTATGCTTACCTTCTTTTAATACGCGCCTTTCGAATTGTCTGCTTGAAAGTCTATCGTCTCCCAAGCGCTCGAATGTAAGCTTCGTGGAGAAAAGTTTCGGGCCCCCTAGGGAACGAAATAAAAGCAACGACACGAAACTTTTGCAGGAATTGTACGGGATATAGCCGGCGGTGCGTGACTTCTATTGTTCGTATCGCGAAAATATCAGCGCGCGATAATAAGAGAAATCGTCTCTCGAAGAAAAGAAACGAATCTGACCGCAACTCTTTCACATTCTCGCATTCTAGCTTGAAATACGACTAAATGTTGAATAACTGACGTACAGAGAGCTGTTAAACGTAAAACACGTTGCGGTATATAAAGTATAACGGAAATTATCGACATACAATTGTCACAACACGTCGAGTACACGAGTCTATGAAGCGGTTGTTTCGCTTATTCTCCCTTTCTCACGGACTATCCTGGTACACGACCTACTTCGATTCCAGTCGCTTCTCCGCCATAAATTCAGAAAGTTCTTGCACTTCCGTTTTTCGATCTTGCTACGGTAATAGCAGCCCCGGCATATTGCAAGAGCATAAGAAAACTTTGCCGAGTACGTGTCGTGATGCAGCCAAAACGCGGAGCGCCCGCTCGTTAGGAAACATTATCGATGAGACAGTGATGGATGGCGCGCGCTCGTGCATTTTAGAGCAGTATTGTGCGGATAATAAAAAGGACTTGTAAAAAGTGGTACAGTCCGATCGGCGCGGCGCGCGCCACGCGATATCGAGTGGAACTTCCGTTCGCGGCGCGACTCGCGTATAAAGGGAGCAGCCAACGAACTGTTGTATTGCATTTATCAACGCCCTTCATCTGCCGGCCGCGACTGCATTATGACGAGTTGCGGAGTTTGTTACGCGTAGCTTTTATACGACGCCGTTATTGTCCCGTGGGCAAACGCAAGCCTACGTTCCGTGCTATTCGTCTAAATGTTCGCGAAAGCGCGAAGAATCAACCTCGATGCGTCAAACCAATGACGATGATGTACAGAATCGGGAGATGGCTAAAATTAATAGCTGTTACTTTGTCATGATTGTGGACAGAATAAAATGAATTAAATACTACTCTGTAAAATAAACCATCATTTTTAAAAATATATATAGTGCAAAAAGAATATGTATCTCTATAATTTTGTAAAAGTAAACGTGGACAGATTGAAATTAAATAATACACTCTGTAGAATAACCCATCATTTTTAAAAATATATGTAGTGCAAAGAGAATATGTATCTCTATAATCTTGTAAAAGTAAATGTAATAAATCTGAAAAATTTTTTGGCTAGTTGCATGGCTCATAAATATACATATATAGAATTAGAATATCTCGGCATAGCCAATCATTTCCACGAAAGGAATTTACCTGAAATTCTCCGACGACACAGTTACAATGGTTACAATTATTAATGTTAGAAAGTGTATTTAATAATTTTCAGAAACGTCTTAATTATTGAGCAAGTTTAAATAACCATTTGGAGAACATTAAATCAATTAGCCGAATTTTTTACCCTTTCTTGTAATATTTATTTTTACAAGTTTACTTCGTTTTACGCCATGTACGAATAAAAATAATGGTTTTTTTTTCTGTAGCATAATCCGTCAATCACATTACATGAAATAATAGTCTATTCAGTCTCAGCAACTTTCCGATTATCACTCTGCAGTGTTTGAATCGCAAGTGGCAAATGTCATCTGGCTTTTCATCACGGCAGTCGTGAACTGGAAAACGCTACAACATAGCATTCGAGACGCTAATGCATGTTACCGCAGAAGACGGAGATTAACGGATGAGTGAGTCGTTTTCGGTTATTGTAACGGTCCTTCTTAGCGCATAGCTGTGAAGCTTAGCGTAGTCTTTCAAGTATACAACACAACAGATGCGTGACGGTGACGAGAGTTACTTACTGTCAGTATCTGAGTGAAAGTCATAGGATTAATTTGTGTCTATCCATGTAGACTTTTGTGTATTACAATTACATGAGCATAAGTAAAACGTGCTGACGACAGTTTAATGCATACCTAATTATTAGAGAACAATTCCAAAAAGGTATTAACTGATTTGTTTAACTTTGGGTATAAAAATATGTTGATTTTAGTTGATCAAAAATGTGTTTTTCACGGAGTAACGTACGCTGCGTATGCAGTTTCATGCGTCGCAATTGCAATAAGAAGAGAAAGGAAAGAACCAGATGTTACCGGGGCTAAAACAGAACTGAAACTCATTGTCAGTAAATTTTTTATTCTTCTTGGATAGTCATCACGCGCGTCGCGCCGACAAAGCCGCGCTTTTTGCGTGTCTGCTAGTTACGCCGCGACGTGTGTAACTAAAATCCTCGATGCTTTTCCGGATAGTAGTGAGGAGAAGAAAGGCCCTTTTGCCCGGCAGATTGTCTCCTTTCTCTCTTTATCTCGCATCAGTCCGCGGCCGCACTGACACTAACACGCACCTACATTACACGTACATATCACGTACGACCTAGTTATGAAATAGTTTTCCTCGTCCACGGTATAACGGCGACTCAGCGGTATCGCGCTTTAAAGCTGAAAGCATGTTCGTGTTGTGTTGCGAACGGCGGTCGCCGTATTGTTTCGAGTTTATTATCTTCCATCCAGCCTGCAGCTGTCCCGCAGGGACACAGAGGGGTTAGATAAAATGGAACGGAAGAACCGGTTGAGAAAGTAGGGGAAAGGAAGGAGGATCGGGGGAAAAAGTTTCGGACTTTCGCGATAATAACACCGGCGCGTTCCGCTTCTGCCCCGGGACGCAATTTTTCCGTAGATATAAGGTTCTCTAACTGAAAATAATTCAGACGATACGTGGTGCCTCGGAATCGATTGCACTTTGAGTTTATTATCTTCTCCCTGATCGAGATTGTAATAGTATGGTAATTCGAGGGAATTGTCAAGGGGGAAAGACAGAGAAAAACTTCGGCTTCTTGGATATATATTTGCAATAAAATAGTCGTCTATCAAACCCCAACGTGATTCTTCTCTTTGATGGAAGTTTCTGATTCAGGAATGCCGAAGCGAAACTTTCGCTTGAAAAAGATTCGAACCAGTTAGATGCCATTAAACGATTGTGACGGACAAGAGCGGTACGCTCTTTCGTAATTCTGAATATATGTATATGCGGTATGCCGTAATTTCGCGAAAATAAAGGCAGTTAGGCGAACCAACGCTCGTCGCTATGCTGTACTAATGAGTATAATTAAAAAAGTCCGTCCCTAGAGCCGCTCAACGCGCATTCTACGTACGTGACATGTTATATTAAAAGGGAATTTTCACAATTTTCTGCGAAATAATAATGTACTCTTTAATATTCATTAACACTATTCATTATAAAATATAGAAATTAATCCAAATTTAAACATTCTTTTAGTAATTTTGATCCAACCTTAATAATTTATCAAATAAACAGTACAATACAACATTTGAGTTAGTAAAGAAAATAGAAAAATCAGAGATTAGTGTAGCTAAAAAAAAAAACGCGATCTATATGCCTATCAATTTATTACTATTTGTTACTAAGAAATAATCTTGTTGCAAATAGTCTTCTTACGAAAGATATTCAACAAACGTAATCGAGATACCTGGGAAAGCTGAAAAAGCTGAAAAAGCTATTTCAGTATTTTCGTAGTCAAAGGACAAAGGCTGCGCCAATTTCAAACGTTTGTCTCAGTTTTAATTTTCACCGCTGTCCTGTGTACATATATTCCGACAGGATGTTTTAAGTTCTTCGTATATTGTACGTGGGGAGAGAGAGAGAGAGAGAGAGAGAGAGGGGAAAGGGGAGGGAGAGACGAGGATATTTTTTTCGCAACAGATTTAGAATAATCGTCGGTAAGAAAATATCATTTTTCGCCGTTTGTAAATTATGCGAGATTTTAATTACGTATCTGATGGTGAATAAAATATTTCTTCGTATTTTCTGCGACAAGCGAAACATCAAAATCTCGCGTATATGTATGCGTAAATTATATCGAGTAAATTATTCAAATATTATTCACGCGCCGCTTACCATGATATTTCTGTATAATCCGTTCCTCCATTCGTATATACGAACATTAAATTCACGGTAATAGTTGTTCCTACAATTCCATGACTGAAGTGCAGGTAGGTACTTCTAAAATTGCTCTCTAAAAACTTTTAGAGAACATTAGGCATGACTATTATTCCTTGCTGTTACGATTAAATGTGCGGAAGATGGTCGAAAGAAGCTCGTTGAGAAGAGCAATTTTCGAGCTACTCCCGATCGATTATCCGCAGAGGATCTCTGCTCCCAAAAGTTATAATTTTACACCCGAGAACTTTCACTAGCTCCGACGCTTCATAAAACTTAATTCCTGAAAAATCTGCGATTGGTCATTACATCTCACGGATGCCGGAAACGCATTGTTGCCATGGACGTGTAAAGTAAGTTATGCAACAACAACATATTAGTCTAATTACATTTGTCCAAAGTTGTTGTTTTATGTTGAAATTATTTTTTAATTACGTAGAGAAGGCTGTTGTTACTTCTCGAAATTAATTAAATCTTATATGCACATTTAATTACGCTGCGCATAGTACGCAGATAAATAGTATGCTTTCTTTTTAATGAATCTCACATTACATTAAAATATTACAATTTTATTATTGATATGTAAAAGAATAATTTGCGGTTTATAGAGTTTTGAGAGTTGTTCCGAAAAATATTTTCTTATTATTTCTCACACGTTGCAAGAGATCGAGTTTGCTATATAGTTCCATGTACAATTTTCTCTGTATTTTATT